AATACCGGTCGGTATTTTGAAATGGAAAAACCAACTGCACCGTCTCTACTCTATTACGACGCGGTACGACATCGATAAATGCCGGCACATTTTCGCTTTGCACGTATGATCCATATTGTTTTCTTCTGGTTTATCTCGTCGCGGAGAATGCCTTGGTTCGCTCGCGCCGCAAGAACTCGGTTGGCCATCGGATCCATCGACACGTATGTGTTACAAGTGTCTGCATGATAGAAGTAGGTTGGTCAACTCGATGTCCATCCTCTTCATGTATTTGTGCACGATTTTTGAAAATTTCTCGGATCGGCATTCGCACCTTCCTTTTAGCACTCGACCAGCACAACAACTAAGTTGACGACAACTCTTGTGTTCATGAGGGCTGTGGTTGACTTAATCGCAAAAGCGCAAGCGTTTTGCCTAAGCGATGCGTAGCTGCATGTGATCCACTTCGACTTCACCCGAGGTTAGTCTTCACGACGTGGTTGGCCCGATCACCTCCACCGATATCCTTTTGTCCTCCGTCGTCAGCTTGAAACCGATTGCATAAATCGTTTCCACCTCCACAAACGAAACACGATCCGATTTCTGCTACGTCCTTGCCGTGGCTTTCGACATGATTTGTGCCAAGGAAATTTGTATTCATGTAAGGGTCATTATGTCCATTGGTCGGCGAACCATTCGTCTCGGTGCTGAAACGTTGCGGACGGACCAATTCAAACGAATTTTGACGCTGGCACTCGTCCATAAGGTGAGAGGAGTGCAATTCCAAATCCCATGTCGATGGGCATACTTTGCACTCAAGGGAAAATAAAGGCGATGGGTTGTGCAATGGCATGACCGCACAGCGAGTGCCATGCGCACAGCGGTGGCAAACATGCTCCGAGGGATGTCAATGTCACAGGTAGGTTTGTCCTCGCTGAAAACGATGTGACGGGCAGCGCGTGTAGTCAATATCGCAAATTCGGTTGGCACGAATTTCTTTGGAGAGTTGTGTGGGTTTGCGGCAGCACTCGTGTCGTGCAACGATCAACGTGGCGAACAGACTCGAATCGACGGCCATCACGACGTGGACACACTCGACCTGGATGCGCAGCCCGGCCGGCGATTTGTAAGTTACAGACGGCTTGGACATGCCGTCGAGGCCACGCGAGATGCGGGTGACCGTGGCGTTAAACTTTGTCTGCACCGCTGCTCTGGAACCCCTTGACAAACTTGTACTCGCAAGGGACGTGGACAATTTTGGGCCGACAGAATCTTGGACACCGCCTGCGGATGGGACTACCACAGAAAGTAGAACGCCGGGATGATTTCCAACATCCCGTAGCCTGGCGGTGGAATGTAATGTATCGCACCCCCTGCTCTTGAAACAGCATCTAGAGCTGCGCGGTGGACGCGCCGCGGGGGAACGACGCAGTCTCTTGACTCGACCGAAGGAGGTACATAGAGCGGGAAGTCCAGAACCGTCGACGGGTCGGCGTCATCGACCCCCGCACTCTGCCCCATCGTGTACATGTAGTTGAGTTGCTCGAAAGCAAACGGGGACTTGGTGAAGCCAACATGTTTTCGGTACACCATTCCTCCCTTGTATCACCATCATTGTCGTGTAGGTGTCTGTTCGCAAGCAGATTAACGACTCATGCAAAATATTAACGATGCTCTAGCCATTGAAAGCTGCCCGCCGTGGTAGCGCCAACCGCGACTGGACTGCAGTGTCGATGACTTCCTTGCGATCGTGTCGCACGCCATATACTATCCATCAACTCCATCTGGTCCAAACAGCTCGACTGGATCAAATCCCCGACAGACACAAACGCGACTAGAGTCGGCCGTCGACGCGTACAACGCGCCCAAACCACCCATTGCATGCTCGCGACAGCCGATGGCGACCCTCGTGGATGTCACACACATCTTGGCTCCAGTCTTGAATCACGACATAGACGCGCATGGGACGCACACTTGAGTGGCCGTGGTGGTTCGCGCATTCCACTTGTACAACCGCCAAATACTACCAATCTGACTGGTTCTCGCAGCACTTCGTGAGATAATTCTACTTTGTGGACAGGCTCTTTTGTTCTTCTCTATAGGCACAGCGTCATAAAATTCGACTTAACATTTGACGCACAGATTGCGGACTTAAATGAGCGGTCGCCCAGCCTCCAAACCAAATATATCATTTGTTTGACAAACAAGAAAATCTCAACAATCATGAACCGTCGGATCTCATGTCGTCCCACTACGTTGCGAATGGATGCACGCGGACTCAAGACTTAAGCCACAGGATTGTGTCAATAGTATCCAATCGAATTGCAGTATTGAGGTCCTACAATGTCATTGGTGAAGTTTCTATCATACAAAATCTATAGGATTCGACATGCAGTGTTCGACACCCTCTTCGCCTTGCTTGAACCCGTGACACAACCACCACTGCGCGCACGATCATGTTTATCTTTCGTCAGCTTGGCAGCGCTCTGACACGGCAGCCACGGCGCGATTGCGCCCCACGCTTGTCGATTGTGTCGGAGATTGTGTTTGCCTGGTGTGTGCAACCTTTGGACGTCTTGACACCTCCTTTTGACACTACGA